ACTCTTTCCGAAACTTTCTCATTGCCTTAAACAGCAACTCTGGAACTATTAAGAGCAATAACCTGTTTCCCCTTTGCCCAGGCCTCTGCTAACCTCTGCTCCACTTTCTCTTTCTGGTTTTGCCTATTCTGGATCTTTCATGTAAGTGGAATCGTACAGTGTGTGATCTTTATGACTGGCTTTTTTGGGCATTGTGTCCTCAAGGTTCACTCATGCTGTAGCAGCGTCAGGATCTCATTCCTCTCCATGCCGAGTAGAATTCCACTGCATGGATGGACCCCATTGCCTTTATCTGTTCATCCGTTGATGGACGGCTGGGTTGTTGCCACCTTCCGGTTGTTGTGAATGGTTCTCCGTGGACATGGGTGTGCAGGAGTCTGAGTCCCCGCTTTCAGTCCCCTTGGGTGTACACCTGGCTGTGGAACTGTCGGTCACATGGTAACTCTGTTTAGCTTTTGGAGGAGCCACCAGACTTTTCCACAGGGGCTGCCCCATTCCCGCCTGGCCAAGGCTCCTGAGTGTCGGTGGAAGGTAAGCACGCGGGGAAGGACGAGGCGCCAGCCCTGCCCTCATTGCCCCTCCTCAGCTGGAACGGGGCCTCTGCCGGGCCCCCCGCGGCTCCCTGACTGTCACGGTGGAGGGCGCGGTCTAGGGGGCGAGGGTGGAGGAGATGCCGGTGCCTGCAGCCCCTCTCTCCCCCACCCCCCCGCCCACCCGCAGGCCAGCGAGGACAAGGTGAAGCAGCTGGTGACGGAGATCGGCTGGGAGATCCAGCAGCTCAGCATGGCCGGCTGCTACTGGCTGTCGGGCAGCACGGTGGAGCACGTGGCCCGCTGCCGCGGCCTGGTGAAGGTGAATCTCTCGGGCTGCCACCTGACCTCCCTGCGCCTCTCCAAGGTTCTGTCGGCCCTGCAACGCCTGCGCTCCCTGGCCATTGACGTGAGCCCCGGCTTCGACGCCAGCCAGCTGAGCGGTGAGTGCAAGGCCACGCTGAGCCGTGTGCGGGAGCTCAAGCAGACGCTGTACACGCCCTCGTACGGCGTGGTGCCCTGCTGCACCAGCCTCGAGAAGCTGCTGCTGTACTTCGAGATCCTGGACCGCACGCGCGAGGGTGCCGTGCTCTCGGGCCAGCTCATGGTGGGCCAGAGCAACGTGCCACGCTACCAGCACCTGCGTGTCTTCTACGCCCGCCTGGCCCCCGGCTACATCAACCAGGAGGTGGTGCGCCTTTACCTGGCTGTGCTCAGCGACCGCACGCCCGAGAACCTGCACGCCTTCCTCATCTCGGTGCCCGGCAGCTTTGCCGAGAGTGGGGCCACCAAGAACCTCCTGGAGTCCATGGCCCGCAACGTGGCGCTGGACGCGCTGCAGCTGCCCAAGTCCTGGCTCAACGGCTCGGGCCTCCTCCAGCACCTGAAGTTCAGCAGCCCCTTCTACTTCAGCTTTAGCCGCTGCGCCCTGTCCGGCGGCCACCTGATCCGGCGCGTCATCGACGGCGGCAGGGACCTCCGGAGCCTGGCTGGCCTGAACCTCAGCGGCTGTGCGCACTGCCTGGCGCCCGACTCCCTGCTGCGCAAGGCAGAGGACGACATCGATAGCGGCATCCTGGAGACGCTGGTGGCGGCCTGCGGCAACCTGCGACACCTCAACCTCTCGGCTGCCCACCACCACAGCCCCGAGGGCCCCGGCCGGCACCTGTGCCAGCTGCTGGCACGGCTCTGCCACCTGCGCTCTCTGTCGCTGCCCGTCTGCGCTGTCGCTGACTCGGCGCCGCGGGCCGACCGCGCGCCCGTCCAGCCTGCCACACACGCTGTGCCCCGCGGCTTCGGCAAGAAGGTCCGCATCGGCGTGCCGTCTGGCCCCGACCCTTTCTCAGGGCAGGCGGGCCCCCTGCCGTCCTCTGTGTTCTGGTCGCTGTTGAAGAGCGTGCCCTTCCTGGACCGCCTCGAGCTGATTGGGTCCAACTTCTCGTCTGCCATGCCGCGCAACGAGCCCGCCATCCGCAACTCGCTCCCCCCCTGCGGCCGGGCACAGAGCGTGGGGGACTCGGAGGTGGCTGCCATCGGCCAGCTGGCCTTCCTGAGGCACCTGACGCTGGCCCAGCTGCCCAGCATCCTGACAGGCTCCGGGCTGGTCAGCATCGGCGTCCAGTGCCAGCAGCTCCAGTCCCTCTCCCTGGCCCACCTGGGCACGACGGGCAAGGTGGCCTACACTTCCGCCCTCGCGGACATGCTGAAACACTGCAAGCGGCTGAAGGACCTCAGGTGAGGGCACCCGGCCATCCCTCCGCGGCCTCTGCTGGCCCTTTGGGGAGGCCTTAGGGGCGCGGAGGGGAAGTGAGGCGCACGGCCTTCTGCTCGGCAGATGTTGGCCTACCCACTGTGCACCTGCTGAGGCGAGCGGGGTGCAGGCCTGTCCTCCAGGGGCTGAGAGTCTTGGGGGTGTGCTGACAAGGGACTGTACTCAGTGGTGGGGCTCAGGGGGCGCGGGGGCTCGGGAAGCAGCAGTTGGCGGCACCCAGGGACGGTGTGCAGGAGGCAGTGCCGCCCGAGCCTGGCACATCGTCCTCGTTGCCTATGGCTGTTTCAGTGCCTGGGCTCTAGGACGCTGCTGCGTACGTGATCTTATTAATCCTCGTGCCCGTCCCATGAGGTGGACGCTGTTCTTGCCAGATGACGGAGCTGGTAAGTGGGGGGCCGCCCACCCGCAGGCCAGCGAGGACAAGGTGAAGCAGCTGGTGACGGAGATCGGCTGGGAGATCCAGCAGCTCAGCATGGCCGGCTGCTACTGGCTGTCGGGCAGCACGGTGGAGCACGTGGCCCGCTGCCGCGGCCTGGTGAAGGTGAATCTCTCGGGCTGCCACCTGACCTCCCTGCGCCTCTCCAAGGTTCTGTCGGCCCTGCAACGCCTGCGCTCCCTGGCCATTGACGTGAGCCCCGGCTTCGACGCCAGCCAGCTGAGCGGTGAGTGCAAGGCCACGCTGAGCCGTGTGCGGGAGCTCAAGCAGACGCTGTACACGCCCTCGTACGGCGTGGTGCCCTGCTGCACCAGCCTCGAGAAGCTGCTGCTGTACTTCGAGATCCTGGACCGCACGCGCGAGGGTGCCGTGCTCTCGGGCCAGCTCATGGTGGGCCAGAGCAACGTGCCACGCTACCAGCACCTGCGTGTCTTCTACGCCCGCCTGGCCCCCGGCTACATCAACCAGGAGGTGGTGCGCCTTTACCTGGCTGTGCTCAGCGACCGCACGCCCGAGAACCTGCACGCCTTCCTCATCTCGGTGCCCGGCAGCTTTGCCGAGAGTGGGGCCACCAAGAACCTCCTGGAGTCCATGGCCCGCAACGTGGCGCTGGACGCGCTGCAGCTGCCCAAGTCCTGGCTCAACGGCTCGGGCCTCCTCCAGCACCTGAAGTTCAGCAGCCCCTTCTACTTCAGCTTTAGCCGCTGCGCCCTGTCCGGCGGCCACCTGATCCGGCGCGTCATCGACGGCGGCAGGGACCTCCGGAGCCTGGCTGGCCTGAACCTCAGCGGCTGTGCGCACTGCCTGGCGCCCGACTCCCTGCTGCGCAAGGCAGAGGACGACATCGATAGCGGCATCCTGGAGACGCTGGTGGCGGCCTGCGGCAACCTGCGACACCTCAACCTCTCGGCTGCCCACCACCACAGCCCCGAGGGCCCCGGCCGGCACCTGTGCCAGCTGCTGGCACGGCTCTGCCACCTGCGCTCTCTGTCGCTGCCCGTCTGCGCTGTCGCTGACTCGGCGCCGCGGGCCGACCGCGCGCCCGTCCAGCCTGCCACACACGCTGTGCCCCGCGGCTTCGGCAAGAAGGTCCGCATCGGCGTGCCGTCTGGCCCCGACCCTTTCTCAGGGCAGGCGGGCCCCCTGCCGTCCTCTGTGTTCTGGTCGCTGTTGAAGAGCGTGCCCTTCCTGGACCGCCTCGAGCTGATTGGGTCCAACTTCTCGTCTGCCATGCCGCGCAACGAGCCCGCCATCCGCAACTCGCTCCCCCCCTGCGGCCGGGCACAGAGCGTGGGGGACTCGGAGGTGGCTGCCATCGGCCAGCTGGCCTTCCTGAGGCACCTGACGCTGGCCCAGCTGCCCAGCATCCTGACAGGCTCCGGGCTGGTCAGCATCGGCGTCCAGTGCCAGCAGCTCCAGTCCCTCTCCCTGGCCCACCTGGGCACGACGGGCAAGGTGGCCTACACTTCCGCCCTCGCGGACATGCTGAAACACTGCAAGCGGCTGAAGGACCTCAGGTGAGGGCACCCGGCCATCCCTCCGCGGCCTCTGCTGGCCCTTTGGGGAGGCCTTAGGGGCGCGGAGGGGAAGTGAGGCGCACGGCCTTCTGCTCGGCAGATGTTGGCCTACCCACTGTGCACCTGCTGAGGCGAGCGGGGTGCAGGCCTGTCCTCCAGGGGCTGAGAGTCTTGGGGGTGTGCTGACAAGGGACTGTACTCAGTGGTGGGGCTCAGGGGGCGCGGGGGCTCGGGAAGCAGCAGTTGGCGGCACCCAGGGACGGTGTGCAGGAGGCAGTGCCGCCCGAGCCTGGCACATCGTCCTCGTTGCCTATGGCTGTTTCAGTGCCTGGGCTCTAGGACGCTGCTGCGTACGTGATCTTATTAATCCTCGTGCCCGTCCCATGAGGTGGACGCTGTTCTTGCCAGATGACGGAGCTGGTAAGTGGGGGGCCAGGAGTGGAGCCTAGCTTTGCGACTCTTGAAGGATGAGTCAGGGTTAGCCAGGAGATGCAGGCGCAAGGCTTTCCGGGAAAGAAGGCAGCGTGTGTAGAAGCCCCAGAGGCTTACAAACAAGCAGCGCGCGCTCAGAAGCCAGATGATCCTGATCGGGGTGCACGGGGGCATCAGGTGAGGCTGAGGTGCTGAAGGACTTCAGCCCGCAGAGGGAGGGGTCTGGGTTCCAGTTTGGAGAGGTCCCTCTGGCCTCCCACCTGGACTGGAGGGGCCAGGCCGGGGGAGGGGAGATGGAGAAGCGGGCTCAGAAGGGGGCCGCACGCTGTTGAGATGTGGCGGTGCCCGGAGCAGGCCGGCCGGGCTGACCTGAGGGGCCGCCCCTGGAGAGTGCGGGGTGGTGGGACCCACGGACCTCGGCAGGGCCTCCCCCACCCAGGCAGTTGTTGGAGGGCCACTGGCGATTTCCTGGGCCCCAACGCAGAATGATCCCCGGTGACTCATGCTGTACAGTGAAGGCCGTTCTCGTGAGGGCCCAGCATTTAGAGGGGTCAGCCTTTGTTAACCTGAGCCGGATTTGAAAACGTCTACAGATCTGATCTTGAAAAACTGCAGTTTCCTAAATGTCGTGGTGGCCTCAGGCCTCAGCTCTGCGAGGGCTTCGGGTGGGGGAGGGAGTGGCCGCTGGGCTTGGTCTCCATGAGGCTGGAGCTGGTGGGGCAGCCGGGTGAGGGCGGCATCGGGGCGTGGGGACGCGCGTGTGGCGTCATCGCCGCACCAGTGAGCACTCACTGTGTGTCTTCGCTGCAGGCCGGGCACCAGGCTGGGGGCTCTGTGGTGCTGTCTGGCTTGATCCCCTCACTAGGCCCTTCGTCGTTCCTGCTTCATGGAGAGGCAGCGGACGCCTGAGGGAGGAGCTGAGGTCTGCCCGGGTCCTCGGAGTCCAGAGCTCGACCTGGGCCCCCGAGCCACACAAATTGGAGACAAGCGTGTCCTTTTCGGACCTCCACTCTCCCCCTAGAAGGCAGGAAATGAACCGGATTTGAGGTGGAGCTTTGCTGCCCCGGCCCTGGAGCCTCCCAGAGCTTCTCTGCCAGGCTGCCTGCCGCCCCCAGGGCAACACACACTGTGGGCCCCCCGCCCAGTCCCTGCCAGCGTGAGGGCTGCGGCCCGGGGTCCAAGCCTGGCCTCGCACGTGGCTTGGCCCCCTCCTGCCCTGTGGGGCGGGGCGCCACCTGTGAGTGAGTGGGGAGGGGCCCTGGCCGCAGCCCCTGCCCCTCGCCCTTCACAGGGTGAGCCTGGCTGCCATCTCAGACGATGCTGCCCCTCTTGCCCAGATTGCTCTCAGCTCCCTCCCTTTTCACTGGTTCATCTCTGTCCAGTGCCTCCTCCCACCTTGTCCCCTCCTGTGCCTTCACTGTCACATCAGTGGCCTTTCCAGAAGGACTGTTGTGAAGTGAGTGGTCAGTGGGCCACGTGTAACTTGAAGCTGCAGATGGACCACAAAATACATCCAACAAATGAAAACCCACCAGGTCTGCTGTCCTGTTACCCTGTTGGATTCTTGTGATCAGGAATTGAATGTCCCGTAGTTCGGGGAGCCTGAGGGAGCGTTTGAGTTCTAATTTAACTAAACTCAGAGCCAGAGTGTTTCTGCATCTGTCATTTTTGTCCTCAGTGTTTTGGCTTTCTTGCTACTCTCTTGAAACTGGCGCCTTTTCTAACCACGCTGTGGTCAAACCACGTGCTCATTATTGAGGAGTGTTTGATCAATAGAGAAATCAGTGAAAGTAAAATAAACTCATACATTCACGTAGCTTAAAAAGTCACGGGACTTCCCCGGTGGTCCAGTGGTTAAGACTCCACGCTTCCACTGCAGGGGGTGCGGGTTCAATCCCTGGTTGAGGAACTAAGATCCCATGTGCCTGCGCGATGCGGCCAATCCCTGGTTGAGGAACTATGATCCCATGTGCCTGCGCGATGCGGCCCAAAAAATAAAAATAAGATAAAATAAAAAGTCACAGTGCTTCAAGGCAGGTAATGGAAACTGGCCTTCTCTCTCCAATGTCCTTTCTGCCTCATGTCCACAGTGTCATATTTTAAAATTAATTAATTAATTAATTTTGGCTGCGTTGGGTCTCCGTTGCTGCGCACAGGCTTTCTTTATAGTTGCGGCGAGCGGGAGCTACTCTTCGCGGTGTGCGGCCTTCTCATTGCGGTGGCTTCTCTTGTTGCGGAGCACGGGCTCTAAGCGCGCGGGCTTCAGTAGTTGTGGCACGCGGGCTCTAGAGCACAAGCTCAGTAGTTGTGACGCGTGGGCTTAGTTGCTCCACGGCATGTGAGATCTTCCCGGACCAGGGCTCAAACCCGTGTCCCCTGCATTGGCAGGCGGATTCTTAACCACTGCACCACCAGGGAAGTCCCACAGTGTCATATCAAATGTCTGCTGCCTGCATGGCCACCTGGAGACGGCAGGTGCTCCCAGCCCACCTGGGCTGCTGGATTCCCTGCACGAGGCCTGTGCTTGGCCCCTTCAGGGCTGCTCTGCCTGGAGGAGTGAGGAGTGGGCGTGGCGTCCAAGCTGGTCCCATGTCCCTGCATCTCCTCGTCCAGGAGATAGACCCTAGCCTTGGGTGGAGGCAGGCAGGACCCACGGCAGGGGCCTCAGAGTCAGAAGGCCTGGGTGGACCTTGCACTGTCTGTGCTCAGGTCCTTGTTCTGTAAAGTGGGGCTGTTCAGACCAAAGGGATTCATCCTTATAAGACACTTAGAACAGGACTTGGCACTTATAATACATGTTATGGTTCTTCATCCATTCAGCAAATACATGAGCACCTCTTAGGCCAGGCACTGTTCCAGGCACCCAGGACACTGAACAAAACAAAGATCCTTGTCCTTGGGGAGCTTACATTCTAGTGGGGAAAATAGACCAACAGTCAACGTGAAGGAAGTATACGGTATATTAGACGGTAACAAGTGCCGGGGACAAGCAGCAGAGCAGGGCGAGGGGTGCCTGGGTGCAGGGTTGGCGTTTGGGGTACATTTCATGAAGGAGGTGAGCTTTGAGCAGAGAACTCAGGGAGATGAGTTAGAAAGCAGAACCTGGGGGAAGAGTGCTCCGGGCCAGGCAGGTAGAGTCACATCAGCCAGTACGGTATCCACGAACCACAGGGTGACTTACGTTTACGTGAACTAAAATGAGATAAAACCAAGCATCGAATTCCTTGGTGGCATCAGCCACATCTCAGGTGCTTAGTAACCACGTGTGCCGGTGGCCACTGTGCTGGACAGAGCACATACAGACACTCCCCTCTGCTCAGAAGGTTCTGTTGGACAGAGCTGAGAGCGCAGGGCCCCGAGATGGGTGTTCCAGGGTCTCAGGAGCAGCCAGAATGGAAGCAGGGCAGGTCACGCTGCTATGCCGAAAGTGGCCTGGGGGCAGCGGCAGGGCCACTGTCAGGGGCATGTCAGATATGCAGAGAGCAACCAGGAGAGAGCGGGGGTTGGGGCATGGCCAGAAATAGCCAGGTTCTGACTTCACAGGGAATCTGCTGATTGATTGGGTGCATGGGATAGATGCTGAGGCTAGGTGGGTCCAGGCGGTGCCAGGGCTTCTGGCCTCAGCCGTTGAGCTGACGTGGCTGCCACGTGGCCGAGAGAGGAAGGCAGGGGTGAGGCTGCACACGTGTGGGTTGGAGAAGCCTGGACCCCCCCCCCCCCCCCCCCCCCCCCCCCCCCCACA